CCTTAAGTGCAGTTAAGCTGTCACTGCAAACACCTCAGCCTGGAAGACCGAAGCATACTTCACCAGAGAAAAGTCCAAGAGAGAGTCAGTTTTGGAGCCATCATTGAAGATTCGATTATGTGTGATTCCGGGCTCAGTGCTGGTATTAAACCAGCATTCAGCCGCAGGGAACTAAACATTATAGAATCTCTTCAACAATGGTAAAGGTGGCGTACTATCCTGTGGCATGGAAAAGACACAAGTGCTCAGATACGCCTTGCCCCACTCAGTGTTATACCAGCATCCGTTTCTTTTTAGTCTGCAGGTGGCCTTTAAAGCTTCCCCTCGTATGAAGACACAAAGTGACAGGACAGCACATGGCAGTAGTTCTTTGAAGTTTAGCAAGAAGACTCCCCACGCTCTTGATTGAGAATCTGCTCCACTATACCACTGACGCATAGATAATTATGGGTCTGATCATAGAGGTATAAATCCTGAGGATTCCCTATGGTGACATACCCCACGTTTTACCAAAGACCTGCTTACATTGCCAAAATGCTGCCAATTCGTTAGAGGTTTTTTGTTCCACGTTAGATTTACACGACAGTTTTGTATCCTGAATTACTTCTGAATACTTCACTTCGGGAGAATTCTGAATTGTGACTCGTTTAATTGTGAGGCAATGAGCCCATACAAGCTTCTCCGAAGCCTGTTTCGGACTATGCTTTAATGACGAAATATCTATCAATACGTCTTCTTCAGACTATTAAAAAAAGAGTTTTGTTATGTAAATTTATTTATTTTATTTAAAATAAAATGAAAAAAACTTCTTAATAAATAAATGTTTCAAACCTGGATTTTATTTTATTACTTCACTTCTGCACATCGATATTATTCATAGGATCTTTGAAACGCTTGAGAACACCGTTCGAATTTGATTATCGAACACATGAACTTGCTATTTTTTGTATGTAAATTTCATTTTTTTTTAAATCCCAAATATTTAAAAGAAAATCTCCCCTCTCAAAAAAATTCGATGTGGCAAAGCTATGCTTAATGATTGCATCTGGAGAAATGTCAAAAATCTGCTTTATAATCAAAAAATAGTAGTTTTAGTAGTAGTTTTTCTTAAAGAATAATTTAAAATTTATAAAAAATAATTAAGTTTAAAAAATTATAAAACAAATAGCCACAACTTGTCCATATGTGAGTGTCGAATAGTTCTGATAAGCACTATATGTGTATACATATGTATGTATATTAGTTGTAATAGACGCAATCACAAAGTTTGTTAAAAAATAATTTCATAGCCTTTAGCAGAGCAAATTTCATAGAGTCAGACCAAGGAACCTGCTTTACGTCAAAAGAAAGAATTCTAGAACCGAGCTTCCTAAAGTAAGTTCCGCGGAACCCATGGATTAAAATTCGCTATGAATAAGCAACGCAGTCGGCAGTCGGTTTGAGTGGCACATGCAAAGAAGAGTTCTATAAACAGCATGACCGAAACGCAATTCTCTCGTAGGTGGTAATGATTACCGTTCTGAGTGTTAAGCGTTGCGATTGACAGCTTGTTTTTTCAAACTTGTATGTGTTGTTGTCCGCGTTGCCGAAGGGTTAGCTACCGCAAAAATATAGAAAACAGGTTTTTTCTTAACAATGACAATGGCAATGACAAACCTCTAAGTACATTTCTACCCATGGTGGAATAATAACAAGGTGTTGTCAGTAGCGACGTGTTTGTTGTGATTTTGACAAGATCGGCATGCTTATTTTCAGTGCTGTCGATCTTAATTTTTATACCCGAGCGCACTTGTGCACAAGGGTATATTAATTTTGTTCACATAACGGTTGTTTGTAACAGCCAAAACGAATCGAGATAGATATAGACAAATGTATACATAAATGATCAGGATGAAAAAAGAAATCGATTAAGCCATGTCTGTCTGTCCGTCCGTCTGTCCGTCTGTCCGTCTGTCCGTGTACACGATAACTCGAGCAAAAATTGAGATATCTCAACGAAATTTGGTATGTAGGTTTCCCTTAATCCAAGGTAGGTTGGTATTGAAAATGGGCGAAATCGGACTTTAACCACGCCCACTTCCCATATAACGGTAATTTCCAGAAATACGAAAACTGCGATATTTTAGTAACTACTGAAGATAATTCACTCAAAATTGATATTTACAATAATTTTTAGACGAAAAATAAGAATATTATAAATTTTTGGAAAATGGGCGTAGCCACGCCCACTTATGGTTACATGTACATATCTTGGTAACCGCTGCACCAATTTCTTCCGAACTTGGCACAGTTGTTGGCCTTCGCATAACATACCAAATGGCCGAAAATTTTTAAAATCGCTCAATAACCACGCCTACTTCCCATATAACGGTAATTTTCAGAAATACGAAAACTGCGATATTTTAGTAACTACTGGAGATTATTCACTCAAAATTGATATTTATAATAAGTTTTAGACGAAAAATAAGAATATTATAAATTTTTGGAAAATGGGCGTAGCCACGCCCACTTATGGTTACATGTGTATATCTTGGTAACTGCTGCACCAATTTCTTCCAAACTTGGCACAGTTGTTGGCCTTGGTACAGCATAAAAAACCGCCGAAACTTTTTAAAATCGGACAAAAACCACGCCCACATCCCATATAACGGTAATTTAGAGAAATACAAAATCTTCGATAAATCAGTAAATATTGAAGCTAATTTATTCAAAATTGATGCTTGCAACAATTCTTTACCAAGAAATATGTTTATGGTAAAATTTTGGAAAATGGGCGTGGCACCGCCCACTTATGATCACATATAAGTATATCGGTAACCGTTCTACCAATTTGTACCAAACTCGGTATGGTTATTGTACTTGCCACGTGTAAGCAAAACGTTGAAAATTATTGAAATCGGACTAAAATAGCGGCCGATTCTCATATAACGGTAAATTTAAGAAATGCTTGAAACTTCAATATTTCGAAATTGAAGGACGCTAATTTACTCAAAATTGATACACCTCGGCTTACCATCTAGCGGAAGGTTTCGGAAGGGTGAAAAAACATATATTTAATACTTGCGCCGGGTATTTAATGTTCGGCTCCGCCCGAACTTAGACTTTCTTACTTGTTATACTAATATTCGTTGGGAAATAGTATCTAAAATACTCCTTTTTAGTAATTCGTTTTATCGCGATATTTAAAGAACTTGGTGTTTTCGGAACAATATTAATATTTAAAATTGCTGGATTTGTATAATTTTTGTCCGCAAAAAGTAAAAAATAAAAGACATCGTGGTTATCAATGGAAAAAAACGTACACAAAAATCGTATGGAAAGGCGATTTTTTATATTAAATATCTTTTGCTGAATTGTCATAATATCGAGCCAAATGGACTACTGATACACTAGAATAGAGCGGCAGCATGTTTAAATTATGATTGTGCTTATATTATTGATATTTATGTGTTTTAATCTATATGTCAGCCGCTGTGGCGTAGTGGTAAGCAGTGCGCTCTTCACTCCGCAGTACCTGGGTTCAAGCCCTGGTCAAAGCAACATCGCAAAAAATATAGAAAAAAGGTGTTTTCTTAACAGCTGTCGTCCCTCGGCAGGCAATGGCAAACCTCCGAGTGTATTACTGCCATGAAAAACAGCTGCCCATAAAAATGCAATCGCCGTTCGGAGTCGGCGTAAAACTGTAGGTCCCTCCGCTTTGTGTGACAACATCAAGGCGCACGCCACAAGTCGGAGGAGAAGCTCGGCCAAACACTAACATATGTGTAAGCGCCAATCTATTGTTATTATTATTATTATTAATCTATTTAAAAAATCATTTACAGTTTTATAGGAAATTGCCTTATTTACAATATATGTCCAAGCTGTGTGCAACTGACGATACAAACATATATTCAGGCTTATAAGCCTGTAATTAAACATTTTTCTACATTTAATTTGAAATAGTATGCACGAACGGATTAAAAGTAGTAAATAATTAGTACTTTTTCTACTACTTTAAAATGCGTGACCGGAATAGACCTGCCGAAAAAGTGAGGTTAAGTTACTGACAACACCTTTTTATTATTACACCATGATTTCTACCATGAAAAAGCTTCTCTTAAAATCCATTTGCCTTTTGAAGGCTTAAAACTTTTGTGGAACTACATTAAGACCCACACCACAAATTGGAGGCGGTTCGGCCAAACACTTAGTGTAACCGTCAAAATAACTATTATTATTAATCTTCGGATATCTGGCTTACAAAATCAGCTTGTTTGCGACATTTTTAGAAAGATCAGTAAAATGACATCTTTGCAGGGAAAGTCAGCAACCGTATTTATGGCGAGAGACAACTTATCATCCTCTAAGAGAAAATTAAATTTCAGGATTATCTGTGTGGAAAATACAACTAAATGCTTGTCTCTGAACGAGTTTTGGTTAGTGTTAGGAGTGAATACCATGAAGCAGCTAAAACGGCTATCTCATCTTTGCTTCCCTTTGTCTCAACGTAACGCTGAGAAACAAGGGTTTACAATTATGACAAAAATTCAGGTCGAAGTTGGATGCTACGCCAGAAATGCGCATATAGCTAGCTTTCAGACGTAATATCGAACTATAAGGCAATCATTAGTAAAACAATGAAACGATTTCATTCTTTACATTCAAAGTTGAAGTATGTTTGCTATTTCTAGTAAATGTTTTTATTCATATATAACTTGCAGTGCCCTTGATTTTTAGAACAGAAATGTATTTAGTGTGGGTTCCATTATCTTAAAAGTTTGGGAACTCCTGGTCTAGAAAACATAAATATTGCGAAGAGCTCGCTCCAAGTAAATGAGCCAAGTTGAAATCGTTAAAAAAAGCTTAAGAACTAGAGAGTCCGGGGAAAGGATAAGTTGGGGAAAGGTGTTAGAGTCAGCAGAGCATGCGATGAACTCTACAGTATGTATGTACATAAAGCAACGAAGGAACAAGATTGAACTTGTTCAATTTTCTGTATGATAATCTTATATTCACATGAGTCTTAAATTTTTTTAGATGCTCACCTCCAAAGCTGCCGCTGTATTCGGATCATGATCATTTTCGACTGCTTCTATCTGTCGAAAGATTTCCGAACTGATGCCCGACACCTTGCGAAAATCACCCTGCAGCAAAACGGGCTCTTTGCCTCCAGTTCGTTGCTGTTGCTGCTGGTGTTGCTGTTGATGATGTTGCGGCTGTTGTTGTTGCTGGTTGCCCAACGATTGCATCTGATTCGCCGGCAATGGACCCGGAGGCGCACGACCAGGGCTGGCGGTAACATCAGGAACTGATCTTCCATTTTCCTGAAAGAATGAAAAAAAGTAAAAAATTTTATTAATATCGTCGGCGGTGAGTTCTAATACAAATCAGAAACTAAAATGGCGAATAATGATCATTGAATACCCCCCCGGTCATAATTTTTTGAAGTGAAGCTTCTTCAGCGGCGGTTGGTTGGTTGAGATTAAATTAGCAAATGCAACGGGAATGATACACACGGAAATGGTTGGAACGGAAATGGTTGCAAAGGAAACAAGTGATTCTTAAATGTATTCACACGGTATTAATTTAACAAAAATGTGCTAACAAGTGGTCTAAGAATAAGATTTAGATTAAGACCAATGCAAGAATGAAAGTAAAGGTAAAACCGTACATAGATGAATACAAACATAAAAACAATAACAAAGATGTGTAAAGATAAAGGCAAAAATGAAGGTCAAGGCCAATTTAAACACTTTACTTGTATAAGGGCAAAGGCGAAGGGGAATATGTAGATGAAGAAAATAAAAACATAAAAAAAGTATAACAAAGACCGATGAAGAAAGATTAAGATGATCCTACATCTGTCATCTGTGTCAAATATAGGTAACTACAAATTGCAAATATATAGTTATTTTGTGTCACTTGTGATTGTGATTGCAATAATATTATTCCTTTCTTTTCATCTGTCTCCCTGAACTAATTTTCTACTACCTATATGTTTAATTGTGCTTATGATTATTTTAATTTAATTTAATTTAATTTGTATTTCAGTCATGAAATAAAATATTAAGTTTATGTACTTTAAAAAGATTCTTATCTTATACGGTTTACAAACGGGCTCGCTTATTTGCATAAACAGCCTTTATTTGCTTTAAAGCTGTGAAAGACGGCAAAGCTTATGCATATAATCTGTTATGCGGACTTTTTATTAAAATTCAGCTCTAAAAATTTAAATTAACTAATAGTAAAATAAAATTGTGATATAAAATAAAGCAAATGAAAATAAAATAAACAAAAAAATATTTCGCAATCGCTCTAACGGTCCGTCTCCACAGGCAAAAGTTTTTGCCTACCAACCGTCATTTTTATTGCCTGATAAAAATTTTATCAGCGGCAATATTTGTGCGTGGGCATTTTTTATCTTGATAAAAGCATTTATAAGATGGCAATTTTTGCCGGATTTCATTAATTAAAAAGTTTAAAAATATGCTATTTCACACCCAAGCAAATAATAACACATATTTTAATAGAAAACAGTTCAATTTTTGCTTTTATATTGAAATATCGATAATGTTGTCTCCACGAAGCTATCGCGCAAATGAAAATGTAGCTGTCAAAGTACCAAATTGCTGGCAATATTTATCAAGATAAAAGCTCAGATAATTATTGCTTGCCAAGAGCAATATGCGGTCTCCATGGGCAAAATTTTGCCTGATAACATTATCAAGATAAAAACTTTTGCCTGTGGAGACAGCAAGTAACCGAGGATCGAACCTGATAGCTACAGGCACGTAGCCCGTAACTCTTACCACTCGGCTACCGCGGACGCGGAACTCGTGTGCTTTGTTTGCTTACTTGTACAAAAGACAATAGCTGGCCGTTTTTACCAGTGTTGTCAACGAAAACTGCCCGGATCCGAGATAACTCCCAAAAATTTCGTGCATTTGTTTGGCTGCTTATGCGCATTTTAAAGAGGAAAATGCATGAGTCAAAGCAATTAAAGGCTGTTTATGAAAATAAGCGAGCCCGTTTGTCAACGGTATTAAGTCATGCATTTTCCTCTTTAAAATGCACATAAGCAGCCGAACAAATGCACGAAATTTTTGGTATAAACTCGGATCCGGAACGAATTTTTCCTAATAAACAATCGTGGTACAAAGCTCAATAAAAATATTAAAAATAAAAACGAAATAAGTGAAAATTCTACAGGCCGTGGGACTCGAACCTGCGACCCTGCTCGTTAATCTGCAATGCTGCCCTCTGTCAGGGCAAAATTATTATACGCAATCGCGTTCAAATAAAAAAATAATGGTAATTATAAAGAGAAGGATACTCTCAATTTGGGAACTATTTCGGGAATTTAGAGATCTTCGGGATTGTCGGGACTAAATCAGGACTTTCAAGACTAACTCGGGATTGTTGGGACTAAATCAGGATTTTCAAGACTATTTCGGGAATAACGATATTTTTGTCTACATAGTAATCGATATTGTTATCAATATATTTATCGATACTGTTATTGATATATTTTCCAACATATTCATGGATACTGTTATTGGTACTGAAACTAGAGATGGGCACGGGCCGGGCTTTTGGCAGGAATATTTGCTGTCAGCACGAAGTCGTGCGTGCATGGACGTTCAGTAAAATTTCATAAAAGTACGAATAAGCACGAAAAAGCCCGTTGCCAATACTACAAATTTAGATAGGCTTTTGTTTTTATACAAAAAAAAAATAGTACATATTAAAACTCTTTTGATAAAAGAAAAACAAAAAAATAAATATTTGGAAACCGATAGAAAAAATAACATACGTAGTAGTTTTGTTTACATATCTGTACATAAAATACCTTCTACTTTTTCTACTTCCCAGAAAATATATTATAAAAATTTTTGATGTAATTGATTCGCTTAAGTAAATATACATACATTAACACAAAATTAAAAATATGTGCATATGTATGCATACAATAAAAGTTGGCTCTTTATTTCCGGGCTGGAACGAGTCCCGTCGTGCCGGGCCCACTGATATTCTTAACGTGCGGGCCCGTGCGTGTTTTTGAAAGTTGATTTTGCACTCGTGCCGGGCCGGGCCTGAAAATTTAGGCCCGTGCCCATTTATCGAAATTGTTATCGATATAAGAATAGATATTGTTAACAATATTTTTATCGATATAATAATCCATCTTGTTACCGATATATTTGTCGATTTTGTATTCTTTATATTTCTCGATATATTTAACGAAATTGTTATCGGTATATTTATCGATATAATAATCACCACATGACTTGACTTCACATGAAATGACATCATATGACATGGCAACACATGACATCACATGGCACGACATCACATGGCATGACATCACATGATATGACAGCAGATGGCATGACATCCTGTCTTACCACAGCATGTCACATCACATTAAATCACATTGCATTTCATCGTTTCACAATGCCTGACACCACACCACACTATATCTTATCACATCATCAAGGTGAGTATGTAGATGAAGAAAAGGATAAAATCAAAGATAAAGTCCAAAGGAAATTCAAACACTTTACTTGTATAAGGATAAAGGGGATGGGAAATATATACTATATATGAAAGATCAAATAAAGATGCAAAGACAAAGATCTGGATAAAGGGGGGTAGAGATAAACGAAAACAGATGAAAATAAATGTAATTATAACGAAAAGGGTAGAGCAAGGGATAAAGATAGAAAAGAGGTAAAATATAAGCTCAAGCTTTTAGCATTATACCAACTATCCTCTCGTTTTATTCAGAATTTCAAACCAATGAAATACATATGTACATTAGACTGCATCACTAAAGAAAGTTGCGATTTTTCCGCCGGGATTACAAAAGTTATTATATTTTAAGACGTTCACCAAAATATTTGGGAAAATATTAAGATTTAAGTGAGCTGGACCGATTTTAAAATACCTCCAAAAATGGAGTTTTTTATGAATAAAAATAGTTTCGTAAAGAACTTTTTGAAAAAAGTCCCCTTAGATGACAAAACAGATTAAGCTTAAAATATCTGCATACAAATATTTAAAAAACTTTTCAACGGAATCGTAAGAATGAGATTTTTGATGCTGTTTTTTTTACTTTTTTCAGAGACTGATTTACGAAAAACTTGAATAACTGGGCCAAAACTATTCTGATTTAGACTTATGGGATCACAGTAGAAAGGTATTTTCACACTGTTTTTATTTCTGTCAAAAAAAAATCATTCGTGTCCCAATTTTTTTTTTCAAATACCAACACATCTTAATTCAACTTTGAATGACGTTCGTTCATCCTACCTTTTCTTTCTAAAAAGGGTGAGAAAATACCTTTCGACCGACACCCCTTATGTCTAAATCAGAAGAGTTTAGGCTCAGTTATTCAAGTTTTCCTTATACCAATCTTTGAAAAAAGTTAAAAAAAACAGCATCAAAAATCTCATTACGATTCCGTTCAAATTTTTTTTTTTTTTTAATATTTTTATGCAAATTTTTTAAGCTTAAACCGTTTTGTCATTTGAGGGGAATTTTCAAAAAAAAATTTTAAGAAACTGTTTTTATTCATAAAAAACTCCATTTTTGGAGGTATGTATTTTGAAATTGGTTCTTAATTAAATCTTAATATTTTTTCGAAATATTTTGGTGGACGTCTTAAAATATAATAGATTTTATAATTCCAATGGAAAAATAGTACCGATTTTTTTTTTTGCATGGGGAGTGATGCAATCTAATGTACATATGTATATCTATTGATTATGAGACAAGCTGAATATGTAACGTAAGATTCACTTTTCCAGTGTGGCTCAGGCGGACCCCCTTTTTAAATAAACATTTTAGACTACACTCCTTTACCTTCAAATTAGAAACACTGGTGTGTAAAACTGCTGACATTTTCTTGCTTCTGTTTTTATTGTTACTTACTACTGCACTCGTACATAATACACTTACTTAATTAACGTTAGAATAGCTGTTAAAACATACTTTAGGTTCACTGGGGTGGTCCAAAAATGCAGGTGAAAAAGTAAAGGCGGAACTTTAATGCTCTCAGCCCCTACGATTGTTCTATTCCGAAAAAAATTATAACCCTGTTTTTTTTTATTTTGAAATCAAAAAATATTCAAAGATCTTTCAAAGCGCTCCATGTATTTTATATGGAAAACAAATTTTTCGTAGAAATAGCATGGAATTCTTGAAAATCAATCAGCCATATAATGAGTTTCATTTTCCCCGAACCGGTTCACTTTTCACTTTTGGTTTCCCTGTATTTACCATGGGCGGAATAAAAATTGTCAGGTGAGTTTCTTTTCGGGCG